ATTTGATACTATTTATCTTTAAAATTAGCAATGAATACTCGATTACAATAAATATCAAACATAATTATAATAATCAAATAATATATGTCTATCAATAAAAATTAAATTAAATAATATAAAACATATAAAATTAAAATCTAAAGAATAATTATGTCAAATAAATTATAAAATATTTTTAGCTTAAATATGTTTTTAGATTCATAAATTTTGAGTAAAATGTATTTTTTGTCCTTTAAATTTAAAACTATATTTTTAATCTCTTAAATCACTAATAACATATGTGAAAGTGATGGATTGAGACTGTTATGTAGCCTCAAATGGATTTAATATACTATTTTCACTAATAAGGATACCGGTAGTTATATTTTATGTGTTTTTTTAGTAAAGTAGGAAACATTACAAAGATGACCGCAATGAGGATTGAACCTAGGTCTTCACTCCTTATGCTTTTAACTACCACGACGCCTCCGCTCTCAATCACTAAGTTAACCCTAGTGATTCAATTATTTAACAAAATTTGAGTATAAGGATTAAAATAATTTTTTTTTTGAAATTAGCAGAATTAAAAATATTAATTTTAAATTTGAAAAACTAAAAATAAATTTACCTTAAATTTGAAAGATTAAAAACATATTTAAACTAATATTTTTATTCACATTAATTACATTAAAATATTAATTCTCAATTGAATTGATGTACATAATATATAATTTATTTATTTTTTAATAATAATATTGATACAAAGTATATATCACCAGAAATAGTAATTATTAAAAATAGATAAATAAAGATTGTAATGTCTTTGAATTGACAATTTTTTTTTAAAATCACCAATTTTATTTTTGAAATTTAAATTAAACACATTTTTAAGTTTATTTTCTCTTTTCTCTAAAAATAAAAATACAAATTGATGAAATCAAGAAAATCTTTGACTTTTTGACTAGGTGAACAATGGAAGTGTCACTAGTGACATCCCAATCCCGTCATTTATTTGTTTCTAAAAAATATCTAAAAATAGCTCTAACTAAGACACGTGGTGCTGATGCAAATTTCACTGATGTGTGCTCTAACAAATTTTTTATTTTTTATTTTTGACTATTATATGTGAGAAGCAATTTTTTTGTGTGTGATAAACTATTGTTTATTTATGCTTAAAATATTTTTTTAATATTTGTAAAATGAATGAATTTTGCTTTTAGTTATTATAAAAATATTTCTTTGCTTTTTACCTTTTTAATATTTGTAAATATTATTTTTTATTGTTGTAAAAAAATATTCTTTTAAAATAAATAAATTTTGATTTTCGTCCATATAAAATATTTTCTTTCATTTTTACAACTCTAAAATCTAAAAAAAAGTAATTAACCACTATCAATGATTTTAAGACAGATAATAACGTTTATTTTAAGAATATATATAAAATTTTAAAAGTATCAAACACTAACATATTTTTATTAACAATTGTGAGTAATATCTAAGATGATCACTTAATTTTTAATAAAAAAAATAAGTAGTTAAAAGTGATTATATAATAATAAGTAATAAAAATCAGTAATTCTAAATGTTAGAGCAATGAAAAAAAAAATACATTTTTCAAGGTCCAAAATCAAAATATAATAATTTTGTATGAATTAAAAATATATTCAAGCCTTATTTATTTATTTATCAACACTATTTACAAGGGATTACTATATGTTTCATAGTTGTGACACATTTTTCGTTGTTCTCTACAAAACCGTTTTTTACTTGTTAAATTTTTACTTTTTAACTTTTTTTCCTGATTTTAATTAATTAATTAATCAAAATGATTTTTTTATTCAGTTAATATGTGCTACTATTTCCACTTGCAAATTTTTTTTTACATGTTCTAGCTCTTTCTAAAAATTATAAAACCTTTGAGGTAGAATATCATACATCTAGGTTGAGTGTGGGAGTTGTGTTGTTGTAGTGTGGCACCCATATGCTTCTTTAAAAATAATATCTTATGGCGTTATTCTCAACTACTACACATATAACAAAGTTTCTTGCCCTCATCCAAGTCTTTCAATCTTGGGGACATCTTATTCCCAAGAAGATGTTCTTTCATGGTGACCCTAAGTTACTTTGCTCTTTAGGAAGGTAAAAAAGTTCTGCAGTAGATAGTTTAATTCTTGATAGGAGTCTAGATGATGATATAGGACACCAAAGGCATGTTTTTGTAGATTTTAAGAAAAAAAACATATTGTTTGAAAATATAGAAAAATATAATTTTGGTTTAGATAGTGTCGTAGGTCTTATAGTTAGCTCCAAAGGGGTTCAAGAGGACTCTAAGAAAATAAAAGTTAATAAAGATAGGCCCACCTCACAAATAGAAAAGGATAAATATTAAATAAGTTAGATCTCTTTGATGATCATCAAGAAAACAACACTTATAATGTTTGTAATATACTTTATTTTGCATCTATAAAAGAGAAAAAAGATTATGCTTTGAATTTGAGGGAAAATCCTCTCAAAGAAAGACGGTATGATGGAATTAAGTCCAAGGGTCAATTTCAAAATGAACTAAGAGGAGCAAGTTAGGTATAAAAGAGGAAGATTCAAGTTCATGTTGAGCTTTGAGTTACTAAATTGTAATTCATATATTCTTTATTATAAATATTTCTTTATTATTATTATTATTATTATTATTTTGACCTTGTATTTTTTTTATCAATTAGAATATGTGAAGAAAAAAAAGACATTAGACCACTAGATCCCTCTCATTCTAGTATATCAGGACTGTTATATCTAATATGCACTTTGGTAACTTCTATGTTCTTCTCAAGGGCTTCCATGTTTGAGAAAAAAAAATATGAGAGAAGCTTAAAAGAATCCATAACTCTATCCCTTATTTAAAATCAATCTTATATTATCAATTTTTATATATTAAACTAGAACATCTATCTCAGAGAATACTTTTTAGAGATTTTTTTTAATGACAACATTTTTAAGATTTTTAACTTTTTATATAATTCAATTTTTATTTATCATATTCATCTATGAATTAAATTTTAATACTCTTAAAATAAATTTGATAAGAAAATTTTTAGAGATTTTTTTAACTTAATGTAATTAAATTTTTTACGTTTCTATAAATTAAATTTTACAATTAATTATTAATAATTAAAAATAATTTTATACTATAATATAAAAAATTTATTATATAATTATTATAATAAATATTTAACATGGACTAAAACACTAGTTATAAACAAAAATTAACTTTTATTTTCAATAAAATATTTAAAAACTAAATCATTTTTTAATTATTTTTTTCGTCACACAATCGTTTTTAATTTTCATATAAGAATACCGATTTTGTTTTATTTTTCTTTATTTAAAAGTTTAATCTAGTAATGACCACTAATTAACGTAGTTTAACTCAAATAATTAAGTAGATAGCCAAGTTTTATAAATAGTTGTTACTAAATTCAACTTCTATAAATAAATAAAAATAAAAATAAATTACATCCATCCATAATCCATGATTTTCTAGAAAAATAATTGCTCCATTCTCTATTCATCAGATCCAAAACAAAATTCAAAAAACTTTCTCTATTAAAAAGGTTTCACATAACTCATTGTTGATTAATGGCCATAATTTCACCTTCGATTTTGCTTACACGACCTTACTAGGACATGGTTTTTGTTTCTAGTTTTATATATATATATATATATATATATATATATAGGTGAATTCTCTTAAAGACCAGTAATGCAAGTGGTGTATCTATGCACCATGAAAATTGACCGTAGATATAATAGTAAAATAATAAACGGTTGAGATATTTGAGATATTTAATTAGTAAATTTTTTATGACTAAGATTTTGAAATTGCAGACTAGTTCTTTTATTTTTTTTAATTTTGAAATTACTCCTTCTTACCTCCCTCTTCTTCCTCTTTCTAGGCTTCGCCGCCTTCCTCCTCCTCCACCTCTTCCTCCTCTGTGGCGCCTTCCACCGCCTCCGCTCTCGCGCCTCCACGTTCCTCCTCCTCCACCTCTTCCTCCTTGGTGGCGCCTTCCATCACCTCCGCTCCCGCGCCTCCACCGCCTTCCCCCCTCGCGAAATTCTTAGAATAGTGGATTTAAGCCTAACTCAACCCTACAAAACTGACTTGTAAGGTGAGCGTTGCTTTCCACTTATATACTATTTAATTGCCTATTCTCTAGTCAATGTGGGACTTGAGTTTTTCCCAATACACCCCCTCACGTCCAGCACTATTGGGCTTGTTACGTGGATAAATGGTAGGTGGCCCTTTTTAATGATCTAGGATTGGCGGGACTTGAGTTTTTCTCAATACATCCCCTCATGCCTATGGTGCATGTATCAACAAATGGTAGGTGACCCATTTTTAAGAATCTAGGATAGCTCTGATACCATCTTAGAATAATGGATTTAAGTCTAACTCAACCCTACAAAACTCTCTTGTAAAGTGAGGGTTGTTTTCCAATTATATACTATTTAATTGCCTAATCTCTAGTCTGGGACTTGGGCTTTTCTCAATAGAAATCAACAAGCTCCCCCATTTCCGTCTCGCCAAGGGATCCCTTCTCGACTCCCACTACGTCGTTTGCCTCGACGCCTTCTACACCGGCCAGTGGTGCTGGAGCCTCCCTGCCTGCGCCCACGTCTTCCACCGCCGCTGCGTCGACACGTGGCTCCTCAAGGTTGCAGCGTGCCCCACGTGCCGAACACCCGTTCTATTCCAATGCCGGAGCTTCGCTAGATTATTCTTTTAGAGGATACAAGGTACACCAAAGAATAACTTGGGTGGTTCTTTTCTTAGTCCCAACAACATATAATTGTTTATGGAATTTTAATTTCGGGTGTGTTTTTTGTCCAGATTTTGTTTTTGGGTGTCAAAAAACGAGAACTAGACCAACTACTCCATATATTAAGCCTAGAAAAACTATATTTTAGAAGAAAAAAATTCTATAAAGTCCAAAATAAATTCAGCTCAACTCCATCTTCACACATATATGGTCTGGGGGCTCTCGGGTTTTGGGTTTCCACTTGGTTGTTAAATTTTTGTTGGCTCACTTGCTGTTAATCAAACACCACCCACACCAGAGTAGGGTAAGGTGCCTCTTATTTACAAACCAAATAAAATTTCACGAGGGGGGAAGGCGGCAGAGGGGCGGGAGCAGAGGCAGTGGAAGGCGCCACCGAGGAAGAAGAGGTGGAGGAGGAGGAAGGCGGCGAATCCCAGGAAGAAGAAGAAGAGATAGGTGAGAATAAGCAATTTTAAAATAAAAAAAATAAAAGGACTAGTTTGCAATTTCAAAATCTTAGTCATAAAAAATTTACTGATTAAATATTTCAACCGTTTATTATTTTACTATTATATCTACAGTCAATTTTCATGGTGCATAGATATACCACTTGCATTACTGGTCCTTCAGAGAATTTACCATATATATATATATATATAAACACATATTTGAAGGGGGTTTTCTCAATGATTGCATTATGTGTTTTTGATCTTCTATATGATTTCTTATCATTCTATTTGATGTTTTGTAGTTGTATATATCTTTAATTTCGTGATTAAACCTATAATTGCGAAGTTTGGATTGCTTATAGGTTCCGTAGGAACCCTAAATATTGTGTTAGTAGTTAATAGAAATATGTAATTAAAAATGTGAAATTGATGCTGGATTTAAGCAATTGATGACATAATAGAGTAATATTAAGTTTTAATTGTGATTTTTGCAGATTGGATTGAAGCTTTAGAGTTTGAAATTCGTAATGTGGGATCTTCGCTTAGGACACCATTTGACAATGTTCCTGCAAGGTTTTGCATCGGGCATGACCTTAGTCACGTCGAGTGCAAGTGTGACAAAAAGGTTGCAGTCTTCTCTATGTCTAGCGCAATAATCACCACATCAGGCTTGGTATTGTTAGAATCAAATTTTGTGATCTTCATAAGAATTATAGTCCTAGATGTTAGATTTCAAATGGCGTTTGAATCACCTAAAAAGGAGGTCTAAAAATTAAGTTATGATCAAATTAGTAAACGAAGGTCACACTATCATATTTAAGTTGAAACATTGCAATTTTGTAATTTTTAAAAATCAATATCAACTTGATAATGTGTATATAACTCTAGATAAGGTGTTTGGACCACACGACCTCTTAAAAGATTAAGTTATAGAAATATAGTTCATGAATGGTGATGATAAATAACTTTACCGTTTAAATACTTGATCTTATGAATGGTTTGAGGTATCTATGTCAATGTTTATGAAATATAAATCATGGGAGAAAACAAGTGTAAATAAGTTATGATATGAGTTAATTGTTTACTACTTGAGGTGTTTTGTGATAACGATGTCTAAGGACTTAATGTGTGATATTGATGAGACTGTGAGACTTGTTAAGTTATTGATTTAAATGCTTAGTGTTGTTGATCTCTTAGTGACTATGGTTAATATCTTAACATATGATTAGACAATTTCATAATGATTTTACCTTGAGGTATATCTAATGATGTTGTGTAATTATTGTGTTTAAACTACAAACATGTGTAATCATTGTACTAATTAATATTGGTACGTTGTTGTGGTATATGAGTATGATGTTGACATAATTTTGAGCTATGTAGGAAGTGATTGAAATGCTCTAGTATTGATACAATTGATGTGTATAGATCCTATGAAAGTCATATGATGAGAAGCCTAAGCAAGACTTAACTATCATGTGATTATGAATTGAAAAGAGATTTAACGTAAAATTGTGGATATAAATTGTTATAATATGATAAGACATTGATTTATGACATGCATCTTACACATAACAGTTGAGCCTTCACAAACAATAATTGACAATTGATTTGACTAGCGTCACATGCATATGCACCTTGAAGTCTATGTCCATTGCATCATATGCATATGTATACAAGTCAATTTATGTGATGACTTGTATTAATTATATGATTTATATATTATCAATTGAATTGTATTTTTTTGTATCAATATATCAATATCAATAATCTGTTATGATTTACATTTGTCTCTTTGCTTGTGTTTGGCTAGCTGATTATATTTTACGCCATGAGCCATAGTAGAATGTTTCTCACTCCCTTTTTTTTGTATTTGACTTTATTTTATATTTTTGCAGGTGATTTACATCACGAGGTTAAAGATGTTGCCAATGAGATCTAGTATTTGCAAATGAGTTTATGTTTTGATAGTATATGACGTTGAGACAGTTGGAATTTATGTTTCTTTTAGTTATTTTTTTCAACAATAGTTATTTTAATATATTAGATTTCATTTAGATATTAATTGATTTTGTTTTGTTAGAATGTGATACTCTCTATATTGAACACGATAATTTTTTATTATAATAAATTTCTTGCTTCAATTTTATTTATTTCGACTGTTAGGGTATGTGAGGGAAAGGATGTTGCATAAGGTTAAGAATATTCGATTCTATTTGAATTTTATAAAAAGATAATGCTTATGAATATGATCTTATCAGTTGCATACAATTTATATATGCAACAAAATTATTTTGTACAAGAAAACCCTGACATTCAACTCTAACCTTAATGAGATAAATTTTTTGTTATAAATTGAGAAAGTTCGTATTTTCATTCATTTCATGCTAAGCTCTTATACTCTCATTTCCTTCATACTAAGCTTAAATTCCTTTCTCTTTTCCACAATACTAAATTTAAAGTTATTATAAAATTCACTTGTCTTTTTTTAATCTTTTTTTCTTTCTTGCTTCCATGGTCGAAAACTTCAAATTTTGGAAATATCATATTTCCTTTTACATGAACATGAAGACATCATGTGCTATCCATATATCATCTAAGTTCACCATACATTGCCTATGACCAATAACTCTGACCCGCAACCAATGTTTTGCCCCTTAGCCAAATTTGATTTAACAAAGATAAATTTGTATTTCTTAATCAATAATTATATATATATATATATAATATAATATAA